GCCGCCGCCGCCGCAGCAGCATCAAGAGAGGCCAGGGGCAGCCGCCATCGGCAGCGCCAGGTGAGGAAGGGTGGGCTTCCAGGCGGGGGCGCCACGGCTGCGGGGAGGAGGCTGCGGCTCGGTCCGGCGGGGCGGACCCGCAGCCCGGCACCTGTGAGGGCTACCCGAGGGGCTGGGAGCCCTCGTGAAGCTGGGGGTGGGCCCCTTCTGGTCCCGACTGGTCGGAGGGAAAGCGACCTCGAGCGGCCACCGCGGCGGTTGGGGGCCGTGCTCAGCTTTCGGGCCTAATCAGGGCTGCGGGCCGGGGCCTGCAGGGGAGGCGGGGCGCATCCCGCCAGTGCCGTCGGAACGGGGAGTCGGGGGGGTGAAGAGGTGATTTGGGTCCCCGGCTCCATTACCACGAAGGGTCTCGCGGTCCCCGGTTTCAGCCAATGGGGAGTCTGCTGCGGGAAGGGGTCCCCGGCCGTAGCCAATGGAGGGGGGCGCGCGGCCCACAGTTTGGCCAATGGGGAGGGAGGGACTTGGGAGCGGGTTGCTACCTCCTCCTTCCCGGTTTGGCCAGTAGGAGGGGAGGGAGGTGGGCGGGGGACGGAAGGAGGGACAACTGGGAGGACTGCGGGCAGGGAACCTCCTGCGCGCGCGCGCCCTTCCTGTACGTGCGCGTGGATTCTGTCTTATGACCCAGCGTTCGCGTGTCTCGTAACACCTAGGGCAGGGCTGAGTGTTCGTGCAGGGTTCGTCTGGTGTTCGTGGACGAGTAGTGGACGCCCTACTCAGTTTCTCCTGTGTGTGTTAATGGAATCGAGAGTGGCGGTACACGCAGGCGCAGTGCGTTCTGATCGCGGGAGGGGGGATTTTGAAGAGGCCCGTGGGCTTTAGTGCGCAGGCGCAGACCGGGCGAGGCCGCCCGGTGGATGGCTTTTGCGGCTGCGCTGTCCCCCAGCCCCGCCAACGGCCCCCTCATCGCCCTTCTCAACCGCCGGTTACATCAGCCAGCGAGGAGCAGGTTTACTTGGCTGTTGGTGACTCTCGCAGAGTGGGTAACATGCTGAATGAGTAATGAGGTCGAGGGATGGAGTCTTCAGGGGTACCCCTCCTCCCAGGGTTTGAGGCTTAATGCTGCTGAAAAGGATTGTCTTTTCTGTTTGGGAAGTAATGTGCCTGAGCTAGGTAGTTCCGAATCTGTACTCCATGAGCTTTCACCTGTACTGCAGATGGGTTTTGGGTTACTACTGTAGCATTAGTCTGTTGGAAACTTGCAGTCCTGACCTCTTTTGCATTGGCTTTTACAGAGGAAGAAAGGAATAGGCATTAAAAGCCAGTAGACATATTTCCTTCAAATGCCAGTTAGAGAGATGTCAATCAACGATGGTTGTCAATTGCTCTTTCTTCCTCTGTAGGGTGAGAGTTTGAAAATCTTATTGATTCATGGGTTTGTAGCTTAAGACAGCATCTTCTCGTGGTATGCAGTTCTAGAATTTCATAATGGTGTAAAAGGCTTACAGACTTAAGTAACTAGTTTCTCGTTTCTCTTATAGGGGACAGAGCACGGGAAAGGGACCCCCACAGTCACCTGTGAGTATCTCCTCCCCCTCTTGAAGATACACGGACCTAAAAGACGCATAAGTGGGAATATAGGGCAGATTAGGTACAGAGAAATAGCATGAACTCAGAAGGGCTGTGACCCTGGCACGTACAAGATAGATATGAGTAGAGTATGGACATCTAGAGAGAGAGGTGTTGACTGGCTACTCCTTTGTTTTCTCCTGTGTTGACTAATAGGTGTTTGAAGGTGTCTACAACAATTCTAGAATGCTCCATTTCCTTACAGCTGTTGTGGTAAGTGTGTACTTAAAACTTATAGGTTGTTCGAGGAATGCGTCCGTTTTCTGGAGACACTTATTTTTCCCACTCTTCTAGGGCTCTACTTGTGATGTAAAGGTGAAAAATGGCACCACCTATGAGGGTATCTTCAAGACTCTGAGTTCAAAGGTCAGTGTGCTCAAATTCATTTATTTTTGAAGTTGTAATGGAGGAGGAGGAGGAGAATGAAATATACTCATTGAGGTTCTGAGTTGGGTGGTGTCAGACTATGCTGTTTGTCATTTCTGTAGACCTGTACTGAATAGTGCTGTAATGGAAAAGAGATAGATTTGAGTGCTGGATACTTTATTGTTAAAATACTTGTTTGTTTTTTGGTTTGGGGCTTTTTTAAATGTTTAAAATGAAGTTTTAAAATTTGAGTCTTTTGCTAAGTCTTGTGGCTGATGTTGAGAAGATACTGCTCTTGGTTCCGAGGATATCAAGAATGTGGTATTGGAGAAAGGTTTAGAAAATTTAGAAAAATAGTCACTATTGCTTTTATATTTCCTGATACTGACTCTTGGATGTTGGGGAATGGGGTGTTTGTAGTTCGAGTTAGCAGTAGATGCTGTACACCGGAAAGCATCTGAGCCAGCAGGTGGCCCTCGTCGGGAAGACATTGTGGACACTATGGTATTTAAGCCAAGTGATGTCATGCTTGTTCACTTCCGAAATGTTGACTTCAATTACGCTACTAAAGGTATTGTGCTAGGCTATTATGTCAGACCCACTCTGAGTAGAGAGTAGAGGGCAGTTTGTGTGTAGGTGGAACATATTAATTTTTTCCTTCGTGCATGTACTGCCTTTTTTTTTTTTTTCCTGAGGGAGATGGCTAGAGTTTTCTTGTTGAAAATATGTCTTGATGTCTAACATATATCGGGATGAATTCCAGCCTGTGTGGTTCTTCATGTTTTCCTTCTTTAATTTTCAACTTGTTCTTTTGACTCCTTTTGTTTTTTTGGAGTCGGAGTCCCACTCTGTTCCGAGTCTGGAGTGCACAATCCAGCCTCAGCCACAGCCTCAACCTGCTGGGCTCAGGCGATCCTTCCACCTCAGCCTTCCAAGTAGTTAGAACTACAGGGACACGCTACCATGCCCAGCTAATTTTTAAATTTATTTATTGTAGAGACAAGGGCTCACCAAGTTGCCTTGGCTGGTCTTCAACCCCTGGGCTCAGGCAATCCTCTCACCTTGGCCTCCCAAAGTGCTGGGATTATAGGCTTGAGCCACCACCCCCGGCCTTCTTTTGAATCTTAGTAGTTAGTAATCTTTTTTTTTTTTTTTTTTTTTTT